TGCAAATATGAACCGATAAAATGGTGCGAATTACAAATTTGTTTAAGCAGTCACTAAAACTTAAATTTCGTGTTGAAAATTTTTGGAATGACACCATTTCAACGTGCCATACGAACAGTAGAATTCTCTTTTTCGCGTTGACGAAGACTAGCATTTTTGAGCTCCTGCTGACAAAAACTAACTTTTACCTTTTCGCCAACGTAAGCTAACACTTTCAAATCGCAAATATGTTTAAAAAGTTGTCATTGATAATAAATTTATGAATATTCATTGAACAAGTGTAGAAATAAAGAAAACGAAATTAATAAAGCAATAAATAAATATGAAGAATAAATATGTTGAAGCAAATTATTGTTAGCCAACGAATTCCTCCCTGGAATGGCTACGCCGGTACTCTTCCCTACCAATCCGCTGTTGCTGCACTTAATGCTGCTGTTCACTTGCTGCTGCTGTCATTGTCTACTTGCGATCACTCGCGCGCGTATCAAAAAAACCAGAAAACAACTTTTGATCAACAAAACGGCAAGAACTCAGTAGAAAAACTATTTGGCGGTACTCTCACGAACAACAGTTGAGGCTTAACTGAAAAATTGAACTCTCGCGCGCCCCCTCTCTCGTAAACCTTCGCTCCAGCATCGCGAGTCCTACCGAATCGTGAACGTATCGATTGATCGAATCGACTACCGTTGCAGTTCTTAATTTGAAAATACGAATATTATAATATTATAAAAAAAATCGAGTACAAATGTACAGTAAAATCAGAAAAAATGTAAGAAAATTATATTGAAATTAAAATTTTCTATTAATTTTCGAACAAAAAGTACTAATTTTCATCTATAATCAATCGACAATTAATTTAAAACAGTATTTACACAAAAAAATTTGTTTTCAAACTCGCTGATTAAAAGTGTTAGGTTTTGTCACCGATTGCTCAAAAGTACTAGTTTTTGCCAACAAGGGTCTAAAAGTATTATTTTTTCATCCACCACTATTTAAAAATGCTACTTTTTGTATAAAATTATAAAAGTGTTATGAAATTGTAAAAGATCTAATTCTAGTATGGCACGTTGATTTCGTAGAACTTAAATGGATTTATAATTTTAAATGTAATCATAACTCGTAGTAGTACTGTGAATAAACAAAAATTAACTGAAGAAGTTCGAGATTTTGTACCAATGTCTGATGTAAATAGAATAGGGGCTGTCATTGATTACAATTCTGATCAATTTGTGTTCAATCTAAAACTATATGCAACGTTCATTATCATTGAAAAAAAGTTCTAAAGTTGAATGTATAGCAAAATCTCCCAACTCAGTGACGCACAGTTATACAATCTAACCGATTGTTTTGGCTAAAAGTGTATTAAAAAGACAGTTTTTGATTGTTTTGAACGAAAATGAAGGAAAATTTGAATCTATATATCGATTTATATAGAGAAACCGGGTGTTAAGATATAAAAAATTTTTTTTTTTGCGGGTCTACTTATGCCGGGCCTATGAATGTTTTAATACTTACAAGTATTTTATATCCGCGAACATCAAATTTTAAAAGACTTATTATTACAAAGGACTAAAACATAATTTTTTGTTTTTTTTTTTTTCATAAAAAGTAGTAATATAATTTTCTGTGAGTAGACGAATCACTTAGAGGAATCTTCAAATAATATAGGGTGATTCACGTTAAAAATCCAATCTTCAAGAAAAAAATCCATGAATTTTTTTCTATGAAGGGTAAGCGCTAATTATTATTAATTAAATTAAAGTAGTTTTTCGAAGTCTTGGACCGATTTAGTTGAAAATTTATTTGCGCACTTTTTGTACTTATTAATCTTCATTTTTAATTATTTCTTTCAAGTCGTAATCAATAAATATATATGAATACTGAAAGATTGAATTTTACATATTGTAACATACACTTAACCGAACTCGGTATCACAAATATAGGATTAAGAGAGCAACGACCCGCCGTAGTTCGTAGATTCATAATTAGCTTAGGGAAAAATGTAAATAACAATCGCACGCAAAGATATATAAGTATATATAAGAGCGGACGAGCTTGGTGGGGTACTCTTACTTTGGCCATCCCAGCGAATTGACGAGACAATCTCCGCTAAAGTGCGATTGAACTTCGACTTTAAACAAGAAGAATCACGTTTAAATAATCATAAAACTTCCTATCCCATTGGGCCAAAGTGGAGGCAGTTAGAATATTGTGCTCCGATGCATTACTCTAACCGGTAATATATACTGCAACGGTAGTCGATTCAATTAATCGATCCGTTCGCGATTCTGCTTCTCACGCGTTAGTTCGAACTATTAAGAGAGAGAGGGGGCGCGCGATTTTTTGAATAAGCAGTTACGCCTCAGCTGTTTACGTGTTGATACCGCCGATTTTGTTTTACACCTGGTTTCGCCGAGTGATTATAAGTTTTACTGGGACAATTACGTGCGTGTATTCAACGACGGTATTGCAGCAGCAAACAGCGGTACGGAAGCAGCAGATTGCAGCGGATAAAGGTAGATCTAGGCAGCACAGCTGATAATTTCGAGGGCAGCGGGAGTTGATTCAGTATCTTCAACAATTACGGCTGATCACCGTAATTGCACCGCGGGGTAGGTGTACCTCCCTTCATTATCGCGTGACAAAATACTAAATGTATTTTGTCAATCATAATAGCGATTTTTTTTTGTATTCGCGCCGAGCGGTAGTTCGCGGTAAAATTTGAATTTTCCCTCTCTCACTCTCTCTCTCTCTCTCTCCGAACATTATTCATTGTAAAATTCTATTCGCGTGCGTTAGTCTTTCGGCCCAACAAAGACTGTAGTGATTTTTTTTTAATTAAAGTCAGTTGGATTTATTCGTTGATTAAGTCATTTAATTTTCCTATTAGCTTAAGTAATTGTAAAAGGCTTAGGTTTTAATCCGATTACATCTAGGGGATTAAGCGGATTAGGCGTAAAGTCGCTCACACTTAAAATTCATCGAGTGTCACAAGGCACGTGACTTAAGGTGAATTTAACTCCGTTCAATAGAAGACAAATAAGCAAAATCATCTGACGTAAGATGAATATACGAGGTGTGTTCAAAAAGTAAGGTGACTTTGTATTTTTAAGAAAAAATATTTATTTATTTATCAATATTTATGTTGTCCCCTTCAAAATAATTCCCCTCAGATACAATACACTTATGCCAACAGTTTTTCCAATCCTCAAAGCACTTCTCATAAGCACTTATCGGTATAGCCTTGAGCTCTTCCAGGGATGCAGTCTTTATCTCTTCAATCGTTGCAAATCTCCGTCCTTTCATAGGTCTCTTTAGTTTTGAGAACAAGAAAAAGTCACATGGGGCCAAATCCGGTGAATATGGTGGCTGAGGCATGATTGTGGTGTTGTTTTTGGCCAAAAAATCTCTCACAAGCAAAGATGAGTGAGCAGGGGCATTATCGTGATGCAAAAGTCATGAATTGTTTTTCCACAATTCTGGGCGTTTTCTTCGTATTGCTTCTCGCAAACGGCGCATAACTTCAAGATAATACTGTTTATTGACCATACATCCATATGGTAAGAACTCCTGATGCACCACGCCATGGTAATCGAAGAAAACCGTGAGCAAAACTTTGACATTTGATCGAACTTGGTGTGCTTTTTTCGGTCTTGGCTCATCTGGGCTCTTCCATTGGGACGATTGGACTTTGGTTTCGATATCATAACCATATACCCATGATTCGTCACCAGTTATGATCCTTTTGAGTAAATCTGGGTCGTCGTTGACGTCATTCAACAGTTCTTGAGCGATGCTCTTGCGACGGTTCTTTTGGTCAAAATTTAGCAATTTCGGAACAAAGTTCGCTGACACACGTCTCATGCCCAAAACGTTAGAAAAAATTTCATGGCACGAGCCAAGCGATATACCAACATCCTTAGCAACTTCTCTGATAGTGATTCGACGATTTTCCAGAACAATTTTCTTCACTGCTTGAACGTTTTCATCAGTTGTTGACGTGCTTGGGCGTCCAGAGCGAGGCTCGTCATTGGCATCTTCCCGGTTATCTTGGAAGAGTTTGTACCACTTGTAAACATTTTTTTTACTCAGAACAGTTTCACCGTATGCCACCGTCAACATTTCAAGTGTTTCGGAGCACTTTATTTTCTTTTTTACACAAAATTTGATGCAAATCCTTTGATCCATATTTTTCGATAGCAAGAAATCGCCGAGCACGAAACACTTATAACCTTTACGCCTCTCACAACCAAACAAAAAATGCTATACACTTGAAACTTGGTACAGATGTTCGGGAAGAGGGTACCAACATAACAAAACAAAAAAATCGATAATCGAAAGTACGTTGCCCGTGAAATTTGAAAAGTCACCTTACTTTTTGAACACACCTCGCACGTACAATCATACGTGTTTAACGGAACGGCGGTTTGCTCTGCATCGTGGGAGTTTGTTCTTAAATAAATTTCTCATTTTTTTAGATAACCAGCTCCGTTACAGTACGAACACAATAATAAAAAACACAAAAATTTCCTTAAATCTAGTTATTTTGAAATTCCCGACGCAAACGACAATGCTGTTCTTTTGCTTGATGGAAATCCATTTAACTGTCCTGATACATTATATTGAATCCGCGAGAACTTCGGGTCTCAAACAACCCTGACTTACCAATAATAAGTTACAATATACGTAATATAAAATATATTATGGTCATGTCATACTTCTATCGATTGTAATGTATTAATAGTAAACCTAATGAGAGTAAGAAATTGAAAATTTGAATTGAATAAAATTTTGTATGAAGACCAAGGTTTGTCACCAAGGTTACTTATAATAATAATAATTATTATTATTATTACTATTATTACTTTTATTACTAAGAAATAATAATTATTATTATTATTTTTATTACTATTATTATTATTATTAATATAAAATAAGATAATTTTGCAATTCATAGAAAATAGAGAAATTTGACTTTAATAAAAACAAATTAAACGAACTTGAAATGGGTGACACAGCAACGAAGTTTTTCTCGTTCTAAAGGAATACCAGCATATTGAATTACTGAAAGATCTTGGGCATGAAAAAATTTTTCAGCTTCGTAGACCCAATGACCTGTAAGCGTTGGTGGACATATAACAAGACTAGACGGTGCCTGTCTGTTCCGATTATGGTCTAACGCTAAGATACACAGCGTTTGCAAAGTCTTTCCTAAACCCATATCATCACAAAGAACTCCGTGAAGTTGATAACGGTTTAAAAAATTGAGCCAATTTAAACCTTGCTGTTGGTAACAACGTAGTTCCACGTTCACTGGAATAGTCAGTTTGGTATCCGGTATACAATGAGGGTTAAGTAGTTGTTCAAGGAAACGTCTTTCCTGTGCTCTTTCCTGGCTGTTAAGGTACAATAATTTCTTAATACCTATGAAATAGTGAAGCAAGAATAGAATATTACTTCAATAAAAATTTTCTTACGCCAAAAAAGATATATCGATGGCACCAGGGTCTAAGGGTAGCAACTGTACAAGAGTAGCGAACGTGGCGCTACATAATAATCTAACTGCTTGATTTTGATCACTCATTCGACCGAGTAGAGGAACCATGAAAAGCACTGCATATGGTACAATGCGAACACCAAGGGTATCGACCAAACATGCTAGAGCTTCTCCAGCACCTTGACGTCGAGTATCAACTTCGTTAGGTCCTGTTACAGTACTGATTTTATTCATCTCCGCGCTGTTTGTTTCAAGAAGAGATGTAATTTTTGGCACTACAATTTTCATTGTCTGAAATTTAAAGGTGGAAATAATATAAACAAGTGATTTAGAAAATATATATTGTAATATTAAATACTGTGAAACATCACATTTTTACCTCTTTTGTTTTCAGTGAAGCTAATATAGCAATACATCGTGATGCCATGTGCCTGACTGATTTATATGAATTGGTTAATATTAAACACATGTTATCAAGGCATCCCATTATTGGTGATAAAAGAGACGATTCCAAACTTGGTAGCATAACTTCTAATACTTGCAGGCTATATATCAAGTTGTTAGCTTCGTCCGAGCAAAACGTTTTAAGATTTATCATGCTGTCATTTCGAAGGTAATCAGGTAATATCAAATTCCATAGATGAGGAAGTTTTTTTGGCAATTCATGGCCCATTAAAGATGCTGTCAAAAGAAAAAAATTGTTGTTATCATACATATATCATAATTTTACTTATAATATTTACCAACAACTGTGACTGAAATTCGTTATTGAATTACCTAATTTTATATTTATTAAATTAATAGGCATTTATAGCTTAACTTGTAAGGCTATCATATTACAATAAGACATTTAATCAGAAAAACCTAAGAGTATCGTGTAGTATTTAATCCAAGGTGATGAATATCAACACAGGTTGATTAATGTATCTGTAAGCCACAGAATTCTTTTCTTGGACAATAAAAATACTAACAATACCAATAATCATTAAAAGTATATAGTTATTCTGTATTTGCAAAATCTCATTTAAAAATTTAAGTTAATTCATTTACGAAAAATTTTTAATGTTATTCAAAGGCAAATGAATAAATTCATAAGGTACGTTTAATTGAGAAAAAATATTGTTTGCGTTTAGACAAAAAGTGATTTAGTTAATTAATTATACTAGAAATCTGATAACATTTTAGAACGTTACATAAAAATAATGAAGAATACAAACATAATATTGAAAAGAAATAAAATATTAACATTGCCATTAAAACATAAAATATGATTTGGTAGACATTAGACTGATTTTAAAAACGTCAAAAATGTCAAGGAGTTTCATAGCGTGAGTTTCGAAATTATATGATTATACCCTAAAATGATCTAGAAATATAGCGAAAAGAAAAATGAAAACATGTAGATAGATGCTTTTAAATTCAAAATTGTAACAACATAATTATGCAGTTCATAAAAAATAAAAAAAATGTGACGTTAGTAAGAACAAAGAAAAAAGAGCTTGAAATGGATATAGTAGCATCAAATAATTAATAAATAAAATCATCTCGGTCATATTGAAAACAAACGAAAGAATACGAACCAACCAACAAGAAAAATTAGTTTAATTTTTTAATAAAAGAAAATGACCCTGTTCGTCTCTCTCGCTCTCTCTCTCTCGGTGAGTAGCGGCAAACTAGTTTTTGAGGCGATCTTTTGTTAATATTTCCTTATTCTTGCCACTTTCTCGAGCGGCATAATTTTGCAGTCGAGTTAGTCCAGCTGGCCTCTGCGCTTCCTGCTAAAAATTCTTGGATTTTTTTAGTCAATTTTTTGGCCAGTAGATGAGTTATTCGCTCGTCTAGTTATAACATAACCTTCACCGAATCACCAACTTTAACGAGTTTTCAAGCTACACATCTCTGCCAACGACGACAACGCTAACAACAACACAGCCTCCACACCAGGACCACTACACTCAACACATTTACACACTGCACACCTTACTGATTGCATCACATCTAAACTTTTGCTGCTATATATATTATATATTATAATCCACTCAGAGAGACTTCTCACTGCCGGTGTTATTTGTTGATGCACTACTTCTCATCACTTTAATTGTCTTGCGTTTTAGTTATCGCGACGGCTATCCTATTTTATTTTTATTTTTATTTTACTTTATCTTGTTTTTTGTTCAACCAGCGCTCACTAAAAAACGACTTAATGAATCGAACTTTGTACGATATCTAGTTAATAGTATTGCTTGCCAAAAACATTATAATTTAAGCGTGACAAGCGCCATCTCTTGGATTTTGTAAAGACTTATTGACCCCCTCTCGTACCTAGCTAAAAATCTGTCTGTCCTGCTTGATAGTGTCATTATCTGGCGCTCGAGTCGCCATCTACCATCGGCATTTGAATACAAAGCTCCTCGAACTGAGACCTGGAACCATTCATTTGTTATCTTTGCACAGAGGATACTCAATTCATTGAGCGTGACCCTGTTCTCCACTGATCGGATCTTTGATTTCAAGGATTGGACACATGACCTGTTTTTAAATTACCAGGCTAGAGCATGGATTAAGAGGGCGACTCGCGAAAACCTAATGCCAGTGCCGGCATTTTCCGATTACACTCGTATTCCAAACAAGGTCAATTTAGTCGCGTTCTACCAAAATTATCCAACCTCCCACAAATACTCCACTATCGACCTTATTATTTGGTTCATTAAATAGCTAATTAAACTTAGCTGTTTTTAACCAAATGCACGTCGCTTCCCTTTTACATCTCCTCCTTCCAGTCCTTTTTTATAAAATAGATGCCTTTGCGTTTTTATTATTTATTATTATTTTTGTTTTTTATTATATTTAATTGTTTTTATTATTTTTTATAACTTTCATTATTTTTATCGTCTTTCTTATTCTTATTACTTTTATTATTTTTATTATTTTTCATCTTTTATTATTGTTATTATTGTTGTTTTATCTGTTATTTTCATTATATTTTTATTTATATATACTTTAACTTTTTATATGTTACATATTTTATTCTATTTTCATATTTATATACATTTCTGAGTCACCTTACTATTATTGCCATTGTAAATTCGCTGCTCACCGTACATACAATTCACGCATTTATGTAAACTTATCTTCTTTAAATAGTCAAATGCATTAATATTTATTTTTGCATCTTTTTTTCTGTCATTTTATAAATTTTGTTATGTTTGATTTGTACATTTCTAAACTGCCAGATGGGGTTCTACCTCATTGGCGCAATAAACGAACTAATCTAATCTAATCTAATCTAATCTAATCTCTCTTTCTCTCTCTCTCTTCATTTATCATGCCTACATATCGACAACATGTACTTCTTTTTCGTTCTTCGTTAAACAATTTTTTTACGGTATTACTAACTTTCCGAAATCAAAATTTATTGCAGATAGTAATCATCATTGAGATTTCTAGGCTTTGCATTAAAAAATATATATTTTTCGCAATTAGGACATCCGGTCGAGAGCTCAGACGGGATAGACGTGTACGGTGCAGGAGAGCAATATAGATAGTGATATTAGGATAAAAAGAGAGAATAAACAATTGAAAAGTGGACTAGTAGGTCGAGTGTAAGGGTAGGATGCGAAGGAGTGATAAAGAAGTGAAAGATAAGGGCGAGTGAGAAGAAAATGAGTGAAAGGATGAAGAGCGACAAAAGTGCGGTTATGGCGGCCACGAGCAGGCAGGAAGAGACGAAGAGCGAAGAGCAAGAGTGGACAAAGAAAGAGCGGGGCAGACCAAAGAAAGTAGGAAATAAGAAGAAGGAAAATAGTGGAGAAAAGGATATAAGAAAGTTTATGCAAAAGGAAGAAGATAACAAGGAAATAGGGTTCGCAAAAAGTGTCAAATTAGTGCATTCGCCGCCGAGAAAGTCAGATGAAATATCATGCGGTAAAGGCGGGAAAAATCACAGTGAAATAATCGAGCAGATAGAAGAAATAGAGGACGACGACGACGAGATAACAAAGTAAATCGAACAAGATGAATTGAGGAAGGAGAAGGATGATGAGGAAAAGCGAGAAGAGAACCCAGAGAAAGATAAAGGTAAGAAAATACGGAAGGAACAGGATGTAAAAGACGCACAGGAGCTGAATGGTAAAGAAGGCGAGGCCGATAAGGAAGAAAAGGAAGCAAGGAGAGCAGAAGACCGAGGGACATACATAAACACAGACAAGAGCACAGACACAAGCGAAAATGAGAGAAAGAGAGTAGGAGAGATATTGGAGAAATTACAGGTTAGAATGGAGGAGATGGAAAAGCAAAGAATTGATGCGCAAGCAGTAGAAAAGGCGAAAGAAGCGATAAGAAAGTAGTACAGAAGTTGGACAGAAAAATGGTAGAATTGATAAAACAAATAGGAGAAAAGGAGAGTAAACAAAAAGAGAGGGTAGAGGAGGAAATAGGAAAAATGGTTGGATGTGGCAAGTGTAGGAGGCAGGAAGGAGAGCAGGCAAACGAAAGAGCAGAAGACAAGAGCAGCGAAAGACAAGAATAGGAAGCGGTACAACGAGCAGACGAAGATCAACAAGCGAACGTGGACAAGAACGGCGAGGAGGGAGAGAAAGAGCTGGAAATGAATAAGCCAAACCCGATGAAAAATTCAGAATACGAGTTTGAGATGAAAGAGAGGAGAGATAGGAAGAATAATGTGTTTATCAGAGGAGTGAGGACGTCGGGAAGAAGATGAAAGGAAGAAGCAGAAGAAATAATAATGGGAATGACAAGAAGACAGTTCAGAATAAGAAGGATGCGGCCAATGAGAGGAGGACTACTTTTGACATTTGAAAATTTTAGAGAAAAATTGGAGTTTATAGAACAAGAGGAGATTTTTGAAAAAATAGGAATAAGTTCAGAGGAATATAGAACATGCAGAGAAATAGAAGTGCAAAACTGGATTGGGATGGTAGCAGAACAAGAAAGGAAAAAACAAAAACAAGTGCAAGTGGGCTATCTAAAAATAAGAATCAAAGGAAAAATGAACTTATGGGACAAAAGAAAAGGAAGTCTCGTAGAGGCAAAAAAGAGAATATTTTTTCAGGGCAGAAGACAAGAAGAGGAGCAGCGGAGAGGGATACCACGACGGGCAACCACGGAACATTTCTACGACAGGTTTCGGAACGAGTGAGGAAGCAACAATCGAGGAAGAGGAAAGCGGCAGTTTGGAGACCCAGGACAAATCGACAGAGGGGACAATGAGAGAAACAACGACGAGCGGAGTGATCGGCGAACATCGAGGGGTAGGTTATAAGTGCGTATCGTGGAATGTAGCGGTGATTAAAAATATATTAAAATGCAAAGATTTATTTTGAGAAGTTTGACATTATTTTACTACAGGAGGCGTGGGTAGAAAAAAATAAAGAAATAAATTTAATTAAAAAATTGAACAAAAAATATAGGTGGGAAATGAAGACGGCGATCAAAGTGAAAACAAGGGGGAGAGCTAGTGGACGGCTACGGTAGGGATTAGGAGAGAGATAGGTAAAAACGCGAAGATAGAAGAATGGGAACACGGAATAATAATAAGGATTATCGGGATGGGGAAAGAAAAAATTGATGTTACAACGATATACAATAACGCCAAAATGAGCAGAATGATCAGCAAACTGAAAGAAGTAATAGGGGTGAGTTTAGTTGAAGGGAAGAAATTT